TCCCATGTGGTAAATTGTGAATGTCTACCGTTCAAATAATTTGGTAGATAAGTATGCAGTAAATATCGATGTGTTGTACTGAGTTCGTGGAGCCGAGATTCCATGGTTACTGATGTCGAAGAGTGGTTTCTATTTTCTGAGTTCTGACATTAACTCTTCTCGTCTGGAAGGCTTGAAAAAATTGTGAATAATCCAACTGAGGGTAACGCATGGAATGCTGACCACATTGTTCCTGTTTACCGAGGTGGAGGTATGGAACATTTTATCTTGAATTTTATATATTAAATATCGTCCATATGCTTCTAGTTTAGGTTCCAAAATTATACAGCGTCAGGACTATGGTCAAAATCATTTCGAAAATGGGCTGTGGGCTACGTCCTAGCATGCTCATCCTTTTTCCTTCTATGTTTTGAAAAGTAGAAACAAAACATTTAAATATGGAAGTAAACAATGGAGTAGTGCAAGAATAATGTCCATTAGAGAACTAGAAGGAAAATAGGATCCCTTTACCAAGCGCACATTTTTTTTTTTTTATGAGAATCAATTTCATTGATAGTATAAAATTACAAACCTCCCCAATCCAAGGGAGCTACAACCCTTTACCAAGCTTTAGAAGTAAAGATCTCAATGTTAGTAGCTAAACTGAGCAGGACATCATGGGTAAAATTCTCAAGATGGTCCAAATTCAGGAGCGAGATACCAAAGTCTCCCTATTCTAATGGCATCTCATTTGTCTCTTGTTTTTATCTTTTATCTCTCTCTCACTCTCTCACTCTCTCAGAAGTTCGTATCTTTGAATATTTTTTTTTCCCTTTTCATAATCAATGAAAAGTTCGTTTCTTGTTAGGGAAAAAAGGTGTTGGTAGCATTTGGATAAGATTCCAGTGAGACTAAATAGGTGAGGGAAAAGAGAGATTAGAGGATGTGACGATCCAATCAATTTTATTAGAAGGAAAAAGATTCTCAATGTCACTCATCTTTGAGAGTTTGATCCATAGAAGAATACAGTAAGGTTCACTTTAAGAGAAGAATTTTTTTACGGGCTAGGCAATGACCATATCGGAATTCAACCCATAGGATGTAACCCTTATTTCACACATGGTTTCATTGTACTACAGACTATCTCGATCCTCTACAATGTTTCAAGCCCATGAATAATTTAAGAATGCTATTGTTTAACAATAACCAAATAATTTGAACCACTAAACAGTTTGCAATATTCTCAGCTTTCTATTTGGTCCTTTTACTGGGTATATGAATTTGTGGTGATTGATTAGTCTGAGTTCTGTTCACCACTGAAGGTGAATGCAGGCTAGAGAATATGAGGACCCTTTGTGTGGCATGTCATTCTGATGTAACAGCTGAACAACGTGCTGAACGACGATTAGTTCGGCTTAAGGCTAAGAAACAACTTAGAGACACTATCACTCATCTTAAGAAAGGTGGAAATACTGAAAGGACAGATAACAACATTCAGGTTTGTTCTCGTTGTATTAGTTCTCTATGAAGTTTACTTCAAACAAATATACCTAATTAAATTATACGGATATACTTCTATAAAGTAGCTGATGGTCTGGAAATAAATTACAGAATCAAGTACATGATGTGCAAGAGAATGTAGTTGATGATCAGCTAATCTTGGTGAAGGTTCCCGGAAGTTCTTACTCCAAAGACGACTTCTTAGACAATGATACTAAGAACCCTGGAGAGTCCAGAGGAGCTTAGAGGACAAGATCCTGTTGTTTACATTCTTCGAGCAGGAAATGCTTCTTATCAGTTATCACTCCACATTTGTTGTATTTTTGTCAGCCATAGCTGGGTTTTGTATGTATTTTGAAGTCGGAGTTGACGTCTCAATCCCAGCTCCAACACATCGCCAGCTCCAACACATTGCCAGAAAAGTCGCAGCTAATCGCCTCCGGTGGACTTGACTGGCAGGAAAATCTGTGCTGTATGTGCTAACTACCAATTGCACAGATTTGAGATGTTGCTCAATCCCAACCATACCCATTGTTTGAACTTGCAAGTTTATGATACTTGCTCGTTCCAATTGTAGTTTTGTAACAACTCTTTGTGTAACTATAGTTCTATCTAATGTAATTGCTTGATGGGTTCAAATTCTGGGCACTTCCAGTAATTAGTTCCCACGCCTGTTAAAAATTCATATGTACAAACACTTGTTCCTTCCTACATCTGGTAGTCAGTAGATTAAATGAAAGAATACAATCACATTCTTTCCTTCATGCTGTATAATAGAGCTGAAAACTTATTCCATTGTATTGATGACGACTATAACCTTTGAGTTTGTTGGCATAGTAAGTCTTGAAAGTTCTTGTAACCAGTTAGCTGTGCTTGATTTCTTGACATCATGACCAAAAAAGCTCGGCTGAAACAAATATGAAATCAAATCTGAGTTTAGACTGGGATAATAAGATTTGCCGAAATCTGTTCACAAACAATTTCTTTGTACTATAATTACTTCTTTCATAAAAGAAAGGTTAAAACCCTCATTTTTCTTGAGCAAAATTGTTATATGACTGAAATTATGTACAAAAATCTGATTAAGATTCATGACAAACCCGGAGAATCCCACATCAAGCTTCTCTTTTCATTCATCTACAGTAGTGGGAGTGCCAGCCGAAAAGAACTGCTCTGCTCTCTCAATGAAACTGCTAGGAATTCTATAATGCAACATCACAGATGCAACTTCTAAAGCTGGTTGATTGTTCTTCAAAACTATTTCATCAGATGCTTTAGCTGATCTGTTGTCTCTCTGGCTTCTTATTTTATTACTCCTACTGCTATTCCCTGAGGAACCTCCTCCAGGTCTTCCTAAAGAAATCCTTGTGGTTCTGCTGACATTGCGGCTGGCTCTAAGGGTACTGTCCATTTGAGGTTTTCTAAACTCAGTACCGTTCGGGTTACATTCATTAGCAGATTCATCGTTCTCTAGTGTTGAAATGGATTGAACAGCAGATACTGACAGATTATTTTTGCAGGATCTCAATAATGAGAGTAGCATGTCTATACTTAGTTCTTGCTGAACAACGGACTTGTTCTGCTCATACCCATAACAGGCAGCAACCAGTGTGCTAGCCAAGACCGGCATCAATTCGGGGTCACTGAAGAACACGAATGGCAGGTCACACACCTAAACACACAAATCTCATTCGTCAAATTTCATGAAAATAAGAAACTCGAAGGGATGGGATCTGTATGGTAGTATACTAACCTTGTGGAGTATGGTAGGACTCTTTCCCCAGCAAAGAACTTCTTGATTCTCAGGATGGAACAAAGCAAAATGGCCAAGAATAGACAAAGACTCGAGAAGAAGAAGACCAATCTGAGGAACAATAAGCAGGTTTCAAACATAAAATTAAACAACAGTAAATAATGGTGCAAATAGTTAAAAGGGATAAATTTTTTTTTTTAGTACAACAAATAGAGGAGGGGGATTCGAACTCATGACCTCGTGATCAGAAATGTGTCAACTACCACTGAGCTAGGCTCATGTTGACAAAGGGATAAATTATTATTAATATATATATATTTATATCCATAAGTGTCAACCTAGCTTATAAACACCTCAACTAATCTCACAGGATAATTGTCCGACCCTATCTCACTGGATAATTGTCCGATCCTACTACATTTGGTATCCAAGAGAAATCGTAGGATAATACTGACTGCAATACATATATGTAGGAACCAACCTTGAAGATAGATTGCAGAGGACCTGTATCAGCGGACATGCATAGCACCTTGAAAAGATAAGTCTTAGTAAAGCACAGCAGACAGACTGTGGCTGACTTCGGTCCCCTATCAGCTGGGTGATTAGTTTCCCCAAACTTATTTCTAAAAGAGCTAAGAAAGTTCTTCATTCCACTAACTTATTTCTGAAAGAGCTTCTCTAGACTAAAGAAAGTTCTTCCTCCCACTACTGTGGTGTCCAAGTCCAGTCCAATCTGCCTATCAGTGGAATGTACAGTACAACTTGGCCAATTCACCAAGGTTCTCGTATCAATTACCAAATAATCAAATTAGCCACAGCCAATTTTTCTCCACCATGTGAATAAGTGTGTTCCTACAATTAACACTAGCTTGTAGAAAGTAGTACACATGAATTACCTGATCACTAGGAGCTGTCCACTTGCTTGAGCAATGCGAGAGAAGGAAACTCATCAAATGGAAAAACTCCATTTTCAGGTCTGGCCTAGCCTGAAGTAAAATGAGGATACAGCTGCTAGTTAGCTTGGTGCTAAAGATCTAGTAATTAATAACTGTTCTTGTGAAGAGTTGGTAATTGTTATCTAAAGACCAAAATCCAACAAAGCACTTTATAACTAAGCTCGAGAGATTGAATATAGTTAGACGAAGTTTCAATTAAAACAATGCCCAACTTACTAGCATTCGCTGCACAAATTTAAGATCCAGAAATGCCAGATTGTTCAACACCTTCAGCACACCAGTAGCAACATCTTCAAAATTAGATGGAAGGATGTATGAGGCCTGAAACATAACGAACATAATAAACAATCAATTAGTGCATTTGAACAAACTCATATATGTGTAACTTGAAAACATCACAAACAGCAGCTAAACTTCAAAATATAGCTACTTAAATGTAACTATGAGAATAACTGATGTAATATGTAAAATGGACCTACATAAACACACTACATCAAGGGGTTCCAGGATAAACAATAATAAAAAAAATAATGATTTTAAGATAATGGGCAAGATGGAAGTGAAGAAACAATGGATTCCAGTCTCCATGACTCGAATAAATAGAAAACTATAATAGGTGCAGAAGCTAACATGTACATTGACTGTTAAAGCTCTTACGAGTTGTTTAAAAATAAAAATTAGCTCAGAGAAATAACGCATTTGACAAGTCTCTAACCTGTTCGGATGATAATCTATTGTTTGCTTGCAGCAATACAGCGGTTAATAAAGATAGGAGACCAACAATACCAGTATCAGATATAGCAGACAATAGATATGCTATAGGTGGTTTCAATTTTGTAATATTTTTTATCCTTCGGTCAGATACAAGATCCACCGGTTGTCTCTGATCCCCTTGGGATACAAAAGGTTTCAAGATAACTTCACTATCTTGTGGTTCATTCTGGACGAGACTAACACCATTTGCCTCAATTGAGGAATCCATCTGCTCCCTCTGACCACCATCACCGGATATCGTCCCATTGTTTTTCTTTTGCTCAAATGATTCACCATCCAATTTATCTATAGCAATTTTTGGTTTTTGTACAATTTTACAACCATTTAAAGCAAATTCTGAAGGGCTATTATCTTCAGTGAAACCAGTTCCATGAAAATCTCTAGACTCAGCAGAAATAGCAATTCCACTTTCATCTCCTACCACTGCTTCACTAGCTGGTAATATACAATTAATGGTACTTTCAGTACCCGGTCTTGATGTTAAAACCACCAGAAGACGTATGCTTAAGAGAATGGAAGAAGGAAATGGGGACCCTTCCACCTGAGGTCTATCATAAAGCGCAAAAAGATCGCGAAGCCGGTGAATAACCTGGTAGGCAACCAATAGTTCTAACAAACCATCCCACATTTGAAGTTGTGGTCCTTCAGGGCTTACATGACCAATTATTGTTGTGATGGTCCACAAAGATCCATCCAGTACTTCAGAGCTTGACTCAAAATTTTCAATAGACGTTTTGCTTGATGGAAGCACATTACCAGGCGCATTAACAGAAGCTGCAATCTTAATGTAATTCTCAAGGGCTGTTGATAGCATTGGAATGATTGGTGGCAAGAGATTCTGCGCAAGAAAGTAACTTTTGTTTGCAGATGCTGATAATACTACCCTTAGCAATTTTAGAAGGTGTATCATCACTTGACAGGCTTCTGGTTTAGATGTGTGAGAAGCAGGAAGAGCAGAAGCAATAAAGTCAAGTAAGCCTGCTTGGCGAGAAGCTTGCAGCTCAAGTTCCCTTCCATCCAAGTACTATAAAACAAAAACTGTCAAATACAACAACATATAACACAAAAACACACAAGTCAAATAGACAAGAAATTATTTTTCTTTTAGGAAAAAAAAAGCACACCAAGCTATCTTTAGCATAAAGACATGCTATGAAACAATTCTAAGTGACAATCCTCAAGCGAACGAATAAGAGTTATGCACAGATAAAAGCTGCAAGCTGTAAGTGACATCAATGATGAATCACTACAAGTACGACCAGAAAAAAAATATACAATAATCCAGCTAAGATTGAAAATACCACTTCTCACGTTTTGACATCAAATTACTTTAAATCCATGAAATTGATACTGCAATGGTCCAGCTTCCAACATATCGTATGCCAACTTATAAGAACCATAATCTTCTCCTGCTTATAATTAATTACAAAAGCATATATCTCATAAAATTGTCTTCTCTAGAGAGTAACAGACCCTACAAACAAGTAGATGATGGACAGGATGCAGAAATGGGGAATTCACACTGTTCAACTGTAATATACAATGTAATAATTTATATGTACACAAGCAACAAAATTGTAAGATATTTCTCAAAAAAAAAACTCCACCCCACCCCCTAAAATAGAATATTGGCGTTCGATAGTACCTTGATCATTTCAGCAATTATCAGCCCTAAACTTGCAGCTCCTTCTTTTCTTGCCTGGCGAAGTTTTTGAAGTTCTTGAAGCCATCTTCCTATTTTTGCCCTTGCAGTTCCTATGGATGTTCTATATCCAATTCCAACATTTTCAGCTCCAGTAATGGGCTCAATAAATTCATACTTTAGAGCCATAAGCCTCTGTCGGATTCTTTTGATCCTTCGTTTCATGTGCTGTTGCATTGTAGTCTTACCCATTGCAAGATCAGAACCCAAGTCAGAGCTACTTGGTCCCTGCTCGTCACAATTATTATTTGATGTCAATCTACTCTGAGCATCCTTATGCATATATCGTCGCAGCAAGGGTGAAGATTGGTCCCTAAAATCCATAGAAGCCCTCTCTCGTATTTGCTCCAAATAAAACTTTCGACGTTGTTCACTTTCACTAAGTCGCTCGGCCAATTTCTGGGCCATAAGTTCAGCTTCTTCTTGTTGGGCTCTTGCTCTTTCCTCTTTTCTGCGAAGCTGTTCCATGGACCTCGCCTCCCTCGCTGCACTTGATGCTTTTCGCTCTTCTTCCCTTCGAACATGAGCCTCTTCCTTTTTCCTCTGTGTTTCAGCAAGGCGCTGCAATTTTTCAGCTTCAATCAATTTCTTCCGTTCTAACACTGCTTCTTCTCTAGCCATATCTTCTTTTTGTTTAATTTTCATTACCTGAAGCTTTTCAGCTCTCCTTAATTCAGAACCGTGAAGCTTCTGCCGCAGCATAATCTTTTTATTTTCTTCATTTAAGGAGGTGATGAAACGAACTTCATTAACCTTACTACTTTCATCGCCAGCTCTCTTCACAACTTGAGCTAGGAAAGCTTCATGCCGAGATTCACTACGCTGGTGGCGAGCATACATTCCCTCCCGTAATTTCATAGTGCGTACAGCCTGCCATTCATTAACACGATTTAATTTCTCCGAGGTACGCTGCAGCTTCTGAACCCTTTCATTTTCTAATTCACTTCTAATTTTCATCGCACGAGCATGCTTTTCTTCTGCTTCTCTTTTCACATCTAAAGAAGTTTTCTTCTTCTTGTCAGGTGACATTAGCTTATCATGCAGCACACGTACGCGCTCAGCACTTTTCCTGCTCATACCTGGCAAATGTGAAACACGGGAACTTGTACGAACAGATGATGAAAGTATGTCTTCCCAATTCCTCTTCTCTTTCCATGCATCCATTGACTTCCGAGCAGCCAAGTTCCTCTTCTCCTTTTCCTTATCTTTTTCAGGAACATTTGCTTGTCTTTTCTCACACGTGCCTTCTGCTAGAGCCCTTTCTTTTTTAGGAAGTAACCTTTCCACATCCAATTCAAGTTGCTCTCGCTTAAATTTTACAGCAAGAGGCGGCTTGGATGAATTTATAGAAGACAAGGAATTCTGTGGACGGGAACGTCCATTTTGGACAGCATTAACCTTGTCAGTACAAATTGACTCAATATTCTTTTCTTTTCCACTAAGGCTCCCTGGAGTGAGATCTGCACCTCTATTTTCTGTTGTCTTTAATGCTGAATCGTCAGCATTGGACAGTATATTATCTATCATAGATGTTTTCTTCATTTGATCCATACGCTGAGGACTAAGACACTCAGTCCCAGGGAGTTTTTTGCTTGATTCAAGCATGCTGGCTCTTTCTTGCCGAATTTTCTTAAACGCCTCAAGTGATGATGATAAAATCTCTGCTTTATGAGGAGAATTTGTCATTCTTCGAACCTGCATTTATTATTTCATAACTGGATTTCAAATTTCAGAGCAAGATTAATTGATACACTAGACGAGAAAAAGATGTGGTTTACTATTTCAAACAAACAGATCGTGATAATAGATCACATGCAAGGGAGGGGTCGCAATTGCGATCTTCCATATGAACTACTGAGTCACAATTCAAGACTCAAGAACTATTCAAGTATATAAGCAAGAATAGCATTGTGCGCTAAATCTTAACATAATAAGGCAAATTCCACATATCACTCATGAACTGTAGTATTGTAATTGCTACAATTGCAACGGTTGTAATTGTAAAATTAAATTTTGAACCCTTCCGTTGCCCCAGTTAAAAATTTCATCTGATGAGAGAGAAAATTTTCTCTCTCTAAAAATTGTTTCTTCCTCTTTCAACTACACTCGTCTCTAAAAAAAAGTCTCTACCACCCTCATCTCTCCACAAAAAAAAGGTCTCTTTTTCTCTCTGTAACACACTCTCTCTATAAAATTCTCTCTTCCTCTCTTGAACAAGGGTTCTCTCTAAAGATGTTCTATCTTTTCCTCTCCCAGCAATTTGATCCAACTCCATCTACAATATTCAATCCAACTACCAATGCGTTATGGTGGCATTCTGCAAGCTAATTTTGAACCTTCCATGAACTTATGGAAATAAAAATTAAAACATTCCTGCCAAGTGATTTGTGGTGACATCTGGCATGATGAATATGCTATAAAGATCAAATTATTCCAATGCGAGCTTAGCCACAAGCTCACGAAAGCATCAACACGTGTAATATGATCCAAAAGAGGTTTCCATCACAAGCCTTCTCTCCTGGTTGGTGGGTGTGCGTAATGTTCAAAATGAATGCTAAGACCACTCCCAAAGAGAAAGTTTTCCCTTGTGCCTCCTATTGACTTAAATTGAAAAGTGAGTAGATTTTTAGCAATTTCCCACCCAAGTTCTCTACTTCTAACCAAAGCCTTTTATTTCCAAACCACATTCAAGGAATCCCAACTCATATCATAATATACATTTCTGATATCAATCTTAAAGTTGAATCCTCCTTAATTGCAGACCCTATAGTTTTCAATAGCGTTTGTAGCAGCAATAAGAAACTCATTGGAACTGTTCACCCACCACAATAGCGCCTTGGATAGTCAAGATGATAGAAGGCAACACTTGATCTACTTCATTAATTGCTAGTAGGTATTTTAAGAAGCTAGTCAATAATCTAATTTCTTCTTGATTTCTCAGGGTGGAGAAAAATAGAGGTCTCATACATGGTGGAATCAATCATGCCTTTCCTAGAAATTCAATGAACGCCCCAAGTGAATGTAGATTAATGAAATTCCAACTACTCTTGGAATTAGCAAACAAAAATCAAATGGTCGCCCTCAGGTTGAAAAAGTCAGTTTCTTGGTCTAGGTCTCTCCAACCAGCCTCTCACTTACCTGTACAGGCTACCGACCCAAGCCATAGCTATTGAAGAAAGGTTTATGGCTTTGGAAGAAAGCATAAATGGAGCAGACAAAGTAAACCACCTCACCTTACATCTCTCTGTAATTTGTAGCCAAACTAGCATCCTCATGAGTTGGGAAATAAAATTCCTGTCTTTTCAAAAACTAGTGAAACTTTAAAATATGTTCCTCCCTCAAGACCATGCTAAAACTAAAATTATAAACCCCATACCTAATCAAACTATCCAAGGCTAGATTCTATTTAAGATTCCTTGCTTTTGTTTAAATTCCAATCTCTCAAAGCAGACTGAAGCTAATTATTTTGAGAGAGGTGTGACCAAAATTTTCAAGATCTTCTGGTTCATTAAGAAGGGAACAAAAGAAGAGTTAAAAGGCCAGAAACAGAAAATGAAAAAGAAGGTAAATAGAGATAACTGCCAAAAGTTTCCTACTGTTGGCATACAATAAAAGTATTTTGAATATCATATTTTCCCAAGTTCTTTTAGAAAGAAGCATCAAAACAAGCAAAAATCACAGAACAAAAACCAATCACTGGAAGTGCAGGAGTAAATATATGGTATGGAAGTGCAGGAGTAAATATATGGTATACTTATATTTGCAAAAGTGAAGCTATTGCCAATCACAGAATCTGACAGTCGCTTGGCAGTAAAAACAGACATGTTCAAGCTCACCTCCCAAGAGAGAGCATGTGGCCTACAATGGTCACTCTTCATAGTGATTGGCATCCCATCAACAGACTGCGAAGACAACCTCTTTACCTCTTCAAACTCCTCCACCCTAGCATTTAGTTCTTTAAAATCAGATGCAGCCTCTTCAAGAACAAGAATAGCTTCTTTCATCTGTTCCAAGTCACATTCAAGTTCACAAAGGAGATAAAGTTCATCTACAGCACGATTAAGATTCTCAAATAGGAAGCACCAGAGCCGCTGCCTAAACCTTTCTTTACTTTCACCAGTCTCGCCTTCRCTGGGGACACTCACAACTTGCACATTCAACTTATCAGTATGAGTTCCACTGCCATGTTCAATTTGAGCATCTTCAACGAAATCACAGGAACCCCCTGAATTTTCATGTCCACTAGTTTCAGTCGAAACTAACTCAACATCCTGAACAATCAATGGTGAGCTAGAAAACCCATTCTTACCTGCTGCTTCATGGAGCTCTAGAATTTCTACCTCAGGTAACTCAGCAGCCTTCTTGACTTTTGGCTCAATTCCAGCTTCTTCACGAGTGGGAGAATTAAAACTTGAACTGTGATCATTTACAATTTTGTTGTGTTCAGTACCTATATCCTTGCAATTTGAGTCATCAGTAACCGTACAGACAATTGCTTCATCATGACTCGGTAATTCCAGATCTTCAATAAATTTTTTATTTGAATCTTGATGGCTAACTCTCCATAATTTTTCCTCATTAGTTGATAAAAGTGCCTGATGGGAGGCCTCCCCTTGTCTGACTGATAGTGCTACCAAATTTTTCACTTGGGTATCTAGGGAAGAAGAGACGTGTGAAACCAAGTCATGCTTAACCTCATTCTTTGCAGAAACAGCTAGATCAACCTCTCCAATATTACCAAACTTAATTTCAACTCCATTAGCACTGTTATTCAATACCAAACTATCATCCTCTATATCACCCCATTTTATCTTTTGAACCGCTCCAGGCATATCATTGCGTGGGACTTTCTCACAATCTCCACTTCCACCATGAGAATCCATAATGTGCAAAACGGATGCCTTGGGGTATTCAGCATCTTGTTTGATCATGCATTTTTCAGGGCAGTTTGAACCTTCGTTGTCTCCAATTGATGTAGTAACAGAATTCTCATTATTACTCTGGGTCCGTATAGCATAGCTTCCTCCTGATGCCGGAGAATGGGACTTGGACCTGTCATTTCGGGCGTTTTTATTCACCGAATGTAGACTGCGCAAAGAATTAGATGAATTTTTTCCTGAAATTCCTCCAACCCAACTCTGTAGGGAAAACTTAGAGCTACTCCTATGCTTCTGGGCAACAAAGTAGACAAATTAACGCCAAGGTTAGCTTCGCCACCACAAATATATATGATACAATTAGAGCATTATAGCCAGGAACATAAAATAAATAAGCATGAACCCAGTACTACCCAAAGGTGGAGGAAACCGAACATTTATATCAAAGAATTGGCTGAAAAGCCAATGAAATGGATAATATTGATGTTAAAAGAAGGGAGCAAAAAGTTCGACATTATATCATATAGTGCATGTAATTCAATTTTCGACAAGAGTGAATAAAAATGCTTTGCATAACATTACAGCACCTCGAGAAGGAAAGAAGAGCCCAACACATATCCAAGTCTATTTGGACTCCTATGCCGGTAAAATTTCTAGAGCACCTACATTACAAACAAATAACTCTGTCGCTCAAGTTTTCATCTAATAACAAAACATAATCTTAAGATGCAATAAAATAACCCAAATGAAATAAACCGGGTCTGATGTCCCAAAATTTTAGACTGATTATTGAAACAGAGAGAGTGGCTAACAATCTTTTTTGCACCGACAAACCAGAACTTCGTAGAAGATAAACTCCTTATATCTCCGGGAAAGAAAAATGATAACAAAGGGATTCACATAGAAGAAATCGGTGGGCTCCGGAGACCTGTTCAAATGTCTGAGAGAATTGTTTCTCTATTCATTTCACAGCTTTCTCATCGACAAATAAGAACCGTTCATCTCCCTCAACCCACTCCCCAACCGTAAGAAAGGAAGAAGAATAAAACTTAGCCGATAAAGAGACGAGAGTTGGCACCTTTTTCACCTCGAACCATCCTGATCCCTGATCATCCCCTCCGCCGCTGTTCTCCATCTCTAATTGATCAAAACCCGGATGTCATTTTTTCAAATATACAGAACTAAAATAAACAGTATATCAAAATCGTGCAGTAATACCAATTCTTCCCATGAGTCGTAAAACCAAAGCTAACCTTCCTAATTCTACGGCGTCGCAAATCATTAAAAAATGGAAATTAGTTGAACCGATCACATCTATAAACAACCGAGACGGCGGAGAACGCCCACATGACTGCTCTTCAAGAAAATCGAAAAATACAAAAAGTGGGTCGGATTATTCATGCGGAATAATCGGAGTTCCAGTTAGCCCGTGGAACAATGCAATGAATAAATTATCGTGATACGTGGAATTGAAAAACGTAGGTGGCAGTGGCAGGTGGCGAAGGTTTTTCTAGGGCTTTATATATATTCAATAGATTGAATAGACAAACAAGAGAGGAGGGAAAAGTAGGTACGAATTTTAATATTATATGACACAGAAAACGAGGAAGAAGAAGAACTGAAGGGAGAAGGTGGGGCGCGCATGATCGAACAACTTCTCGTTTTTCAACACAGAGGGGTCCCTTTCTTCTGACATAGGACTGCGTAATTCAATCAAATTTCCTTTAAATTGGAAAAATGCGACAGTAGATTTCAACCATCGGAAAACGATCAGTGTTCGAACATTGGAGAAAGGAATGAGACAATCTTGTTCTTGTTCTTGTACTTGTTCGTTCTTCCCCGTAATCAGTAGCGGTGGTTTATCATACCGAAGTTGTGTGTACTGCCAACGAAATACAGATATTATGTCTATGTATACGTATACCTCACTTTTTTTTATGGTATTTATTTACATTTTTATGTAACAGTTCTTTTTTTTTTTTTTTGCCTTTTGTTAATTTTTAATTCTGTTTTTGTTTTCCATGCAATTCTTGGGTTTTTTTAGTGGACATCAAGTGATGGGTTGGATTAATTTATTTTAGAGCTTTAAATGTTTTTAACTTCATTTTTAAAAAGTATATGTATGCTTGATCAATTAATTCATGAGATTTCTTTACCTGATTTTTATATTTTCATTTAAATAGGTTATTTATTTGATGTTGTTTATTATAAATTCTTTATATCCAAAATTATAAAGTCTTATTTATAATTAATTACGAATGTAGAAATGAGTTAATGTTATTTTTAATTAAAATAATGATATATTCTAATATATTTTGACAATTCTATTATATTAATTAACAGTAAATAGTTAATATATTTTCCCATGACCACCGTTAATATATAATGTTATTAAACTTTATTGCTTTAATATTTAATAATACTTAATTATATTTAACAACTATATTGATACTAATTAATGATAACAAATTAAAATTAAACAATTTATAAATTAAATAAAATGTTGTATTTTTTTAAAAAATTACATAATCTAATAAAAGTTGTATAGTTTAGAATAGAAATTATTAAAATTAAAAATAAATCAATAAATTGTAAAATTGTAAAACATTTGATTAATTTTATGAATTTGACCTCTTTGGTCAAATAAAAAATCTTTAGTCGCCCCAAACCGGCAGTCCCTATCAAACAATTCTCTTCCCTCTAAAGATGAATTTATCAACAAATAAATAAAGAAAACTCGCAGAACAAATTGCTATTAGTCAGAAATTTATGAATCAGGTGGCGGGAGAAATCACTGCAAGAAAGATATCATAACCTACAGCTTAAGAAATAGGCTATAAGAAATAAAGGGAAAAAAAAAACGGGGGAAAAGCCGGTTAAAATATTACTTCATCCCTTTCGCTTCGTCGAGCAAATCCTCCATCTTCTCGGAAATCGTCTCTGTCGGCGCCACCACTCATCTTCCTCGCTTTGTTCCTACTCTCATGCAGTTTTTGCAGTTGCCACAACTCGTCTTCGCAGGTAATCTCTATTACAATTGATGTGGATTTCTTCTCTCCCATTGAATTAATATGGTACTCTTCATCTGGCTAGCACAGAGATTTCATAGTAACACTAGAAACCTAGGTTTTCTTCTAAAGTTCAAACCCGTAGGTCGGTGTTAGTGAAGTCCAGCGAAGAGGCTTATCTTGATTTTCTCTTCTGTTTTTGTTACTGAAAGTTCATTTTTTTGGTAATGGGTGTTGCTAGGTTTGGTGAATTCCAATTTAATTTTATTCCATTTTTATGATTTTTTTTTTTTTTGGCTGATGATTTTGTCGTATTCTTGTGTGCAGAAACTGTTTGGTGCTCAACCATGACTGTCACATCGAAGATTTTTGTCAACGATGGTAACAAATCCATTTAATGGAAAGTCTCATGAGTAGTATGATGAAATTCATTTTTACACTTTCAATGGAAGTTACAAAATACGTAAATTAACTAATTACTTAAAGTGGGTTGATTTTCTTGATTCAAACTATTTTCTTGGATGGTCATCTCAAAGAAGTTATGTGCAGAAAGTGAATTCTCGTAGATCTCTTTGCACTCTTGTACAATCTGTTGAAATACACCCATTTTTTTCTCATATTATTAATCAATTATCAACACAATTGTGATATTTTGTGATAACTAATGATGCATTTATTTTAAAGAGATTAGTTTCACTTTTGTAATTTTGCCATTGACTCATCTCACTTCTCTGTAATTTCTGTCTCTGCTTCTTGTTTGTATTATGAAGAATTCACACACATATATATATTTGGATTTTGGCCTAGTTTGATATCATTATTGGTTTTGGTTTTTGGTTTTTTCCCCTCCATATTTGGTTTCTTGTTTTTAGGAAACAAAAAACCCATAATTTATGATGATATTTTAAGTACCAAATATTCTATGGTCAGGTAACACCAATAGTTAAGTTTTTATTTAAAAAGTGACAAAAAAAAAAGTTAACCTGGTCACTGTTCCTTTATATGGTACGACATTTTTTATTGGTTATATATGTTTTATATTTACTATGGTTTAACATTTTCATGACTGAGTTGATCTTTAAAATTGATTTCTCGTAAGACTATGTTAAAATTGTAAATCCAGACTTCCTGCCATTTGGAAAACATTGGAAAGCATGCAATTGGGAAATGTGGTAGGCATATTCTCATTACTCACTAGATTTCCACTCTATAGAGATTGAAATGTAAAGTTCTTGTGCTTGATTTTTTTTTTCCTGTTTAGGGCCCATGGGTATTAAGTGCACTAAGTTGAAACTGGTTTTGTCTTCAATTTTTTATGGATTAATTATTTTATTCCAAATGATTTTCTTTTCAATTTTTCATAACTAAACAAGGCTTAAGAGAGACGAATGAAAAAAAAAAGAATAAGTAGTTGTCAATTGTTTTTCTTCAGTAAGCATGGAGTTACCTAGCTAGTAACTAAGTTTTATCCATTCTAAAAAAAAGGTAAAAAAATGGTCATGGAGATACTAATGAATGGTTCCATGAATCAAACAGAATTCCGATTACCAGCTGTCGTAGTAATTCTGGGGGAATGGTTTGGCTCGTAACTGTATTGCTGCCGGTGGGCAATAGGAAGAATGAAGATGTTGCTAAAACAGAGATACCTTGTGGGGAAAAGGATTACTTCCACCCTTACTGCTAGCTGTGGTTTACCATCTTTCTCTTCGAATTCCAAAGGTTTCGTTTACCTCTTCTTCTATTTTCTACACTGTTCTAATATGAAAACATGAATCTATTTGCGTTTATCTCCCTAATCTTCACTTACTCCCCAATTTCATTTGAATTCGCTGCTTCAATTGCAATTCTTTGCTGCCTCTGTCTCTTCCCCCTGCATACACTGAAAATTCTAATGAAATTGAGGACTTGGATTCTCTAGTCTTCTTCAGAAGCAAGTTACGGTAAGTAAACTCAGTATTTGGTGCCTTTGACTTAACACCATAGCAATAGCCATCTCATTTGCCACAACCATGCTATTGTAATGTAACACTGTGTGCTGAGCAGGTTCGTCCGCTTCTTGCGTCAGACCCTATGCCCATATTCTCCTTGCATTCTGCTCTTTGTTGCCTCAATGTAAATGCTGATCTGTTAATGATTTTTCATGTTCCATCTCCGTAATTAGCGATATTCATGCTTCCCTTGATATCGGATTTTAAATGCCCCTTCCACTTTCCCGTTAACTTTTTTTCCTCAAACTCTATTTCAGATTATCAAACCCTTTATCTCGTTCTTGAAGCTTGTAGACACTCATCAAATTCCAAAACTGCTATTGAAACGCATGCAAGAATTATTAAATTTGGATATGGAGACTACCCTACTCTCATCACTTCCCTAGTATCTACTTATCAACGTGCTGGTTGTCTTAATCATGTCAATCGACTTCTTGGTCTACTCTGCTCTAAGCATCTTGATTTAGTTGCAATGAACATATTCATTGAAAATTTTATGAAAATTGGGGAATATAAATTTGCTAAGAAGGTATTTTATAAAATGCCTTACCGTGATGTTATAACATGGAACTCAATAATTGGAGGTTGTGTGAAGAATGCATGCTATGAAGAGGCATTTAGATTCTTCAGTGAGATGCTGATCTCAAATATTCAGCCGGACGGATTTACATTTGCTTCCATACTGAAAGCAAGTGCACAGCTCGGAGCTCTAAGTAATGCTCAGAGTGTTCATGCTATAATGACAGAGAAAAAAGTTGAGCTTAATTCTATATTAAATTCTGCACTCATATACACGTACTCTAAGTGTGGTAGCATCCAAATTGCAAAAGAAATCTTTAGTAGCGTCCCTCACAGTGATATATCAGTTTGGAATGCAATGATAAAAGGCCTTGCAATTCATGGGCTTGCAATGGATGCATTACTGGTATTCTCAATGATGGAACGAGATAGTGTTCGGCCTGATGCTGTCACCTTTTTGGGTACTTTAACAGCCTGCAACCATGGTGGTTTAGTTGAACAGGGTCGTAAGTATTTTGATTGGATGAGAAGTCGTTATTCCATCGAGCCACAGCTTGAGCATTACGGAGTCATGGTTGATCTCTATAGCCGAGCTGGGTTTCTAGAAGAGGCCTATTCCACAATCAAGGCAATGCCAATAGAGCCAGATGTTGTCACATGGAGGACGCTTCTCAGTGGTTGTAAAATTTACAGAAATCAAGAACTCGCAGAAGTTGCTATTGCAAACATTTCTGATCTCAAGAGTGGAGATTATGTATTATTATCAAATATCTATTGTTCCTTCCATAGATGGGAGTATGCAGAAACAGTTAGAGAGATGATGAAACACAAGGGAGTTCGTAAGAATTGTGGAAAGAGCTGGATTGAGTTGGCAGGTAGCATTCACAAGTTCAAGTCAGGTGATCGATCACATCCAGAAATCAATGCAGTATACGAAGTGCTGGGCAGTTTGATCAAGAGAACTCGGTCGGAGGGATATATGCCTGTAACAGAATTCGTTTTTATGGACATCTCTGAGGAGGAAAAGGAAGAGAACTTATCATTTCATAGCGAAAAGTTGGCATTGGCCTATGCGATCCTGAAAACTAGTCCTGGGGAAAAAATTAGTATATCAAAGAACCTACGGATCTGTGATGATTGTCATAGATGGATAAAACTGGTTTCAAGAGTGCTTTGTAGAGTCATAGTAGTGAGGGATCGGATCCGGTTTCATCAATTTGAAGGTGGCATGTGTTCCTGTGGGGATTGTTGGTAGTTTGGTGTCAAGATACCAATTCCTAAGATCGACAGTTTGATCCCCCTTGCAATTGTTGAACTCAAAGAAGATACCAATAGTTACGTTGCTTTATTTGAGGCTGTTTACAACGATGGACTTTTGAAATGCATTCGCAAAGGTCGCATGGATCAAGTCAACTTGTCAACGAACTGATTATTTTTTCTTATTCTTGGGAAATTTATGTCATTTAACAGCACAACATGATGCATTGAGCTTACGCCTTGTATCTGGGGGAAACCAACAAAATTTCTGTTGAACCAGGCAGCAATTTTCAGAAGTTGTAACTGGAGGGTAGCCCTTTTTTCCTTTATTTTTCATGGGATTCTGATGCTTTCAGGTTTTTGTTCTTAAGTTATTAGCTTGGTCTGAGGCATGGATTATATCATATATGTGTGGGAGTGTCGCAACACCATGGTGGATGTTCTTTGAAGTTTATAACTTGAACAACAAGCTTTGTCGAGTACCCACAAGGAGGCTGAGAATAATATTGATCGAGAATGGACTGAAGTTTTGGGAGTTGAATGTGTGGACCATATTGAGTTCTACTTTGCCCCTTGGTTTATGATGCAAAGTTTTGGTACTGACTCTCTTTTATCATTTCTTTTTCCCGTTCCATGAACACCAAACTAGAATCTACTCCTCGTCCATCAAGTCGCCACCCAGCCTAACTGGTCATAATTATTTGATTCATTTATTCATGCATAACTATTATTGCTTACTTTTTTGGGATCTTCACTTCTCATAAAAGGAGACAAGCTGAAGCTGCTCACGTAAGAGAAGTTCCCAAATAGAATACCGGTAAGAATAATGTTACTAATTAACTTCTTTATTTCGTATGATCTCATAAATTTATTTTGATTTGGTACTAATTCAAATAAATTAAACAGGTGATTGTCGAGAAAGCTGGGAGGAGTGACATTGTTGACATTGACAAGAACAAGTACTATCTCTCTCTCTTCTCCTTCTTAACTGACAATTAAAAGTAATTGAAAGTAGATACTAGCGCATATGTTTGCAGCAGCTGCAGTAATATGTCGAATGAAAATAACGGAATGCTAGCATGTAGTTTGAATATCGAGGTTTGTTTCGGGAGTAAAAAGTTTAGAAGATTTGGAGTTCATGATGCTTGCTTCAATGCATATTGTAGGCTTCGGTGAAATTTAGTTGAAGATTGACTCAATGACTTACTTTCTTGTTTTTTTCTCTTTTGGGATTAGAAATGACGTGTATTTAAAAAGTTGTAGGTAGTACCAATTTCACGGCCGTGTGATAAAGTGACGATTGGTATGAACATTTTCTAGATTTATTTATGTTCATTTAACAAGGGTTATTGTTATTATTTCACTCTTGGTATTCACGTAACTATTTTCCATCTTTTTAAATATTTTTGTAGGTGAATGAAATGATATAAAAGCAAACGGGTTAAAACCCATTGTAATCTATAATTTATGAGCTCATTTTATTGGAAATTATTTTCTTGAATTTATGTAACTTTACTTCTATTGCAAACTATTGAATACATTATAATGCAAAATCTTCATTTATAAAGAAAATAATGATATATTTAATGTTTCACATATATATCTATATATATACATATATATATGTATATATATATATATATATATATGTTTTTTTGTAGGCTTGTTCAACCATAATTTTTTTTTTTTAAGTTCTTGAGTAAGATCAAACTAT